AGAAAGAAAGAAAGAAAGAAAGAAAGAAAGAAAGAAAGAAAGAAAGAGAAACGAACAAAAGAAGGCCTGAAAACGGGAGAAAACTGAAAGAGGAGCAGAGGAATTTAAAAAAATAATAACAATCTTATAACTTGAAACAGCTTTCCAAAGGAAAACTCAAGAGCGAACCAAGAAAATAAATAATTACAACTCAACGACAGCTTTCTAAAAAAAAAATTTTTTTTAAAAGGGTAGGGATAATGGCTGGTCACTCTGCCTCTCGGCCACTGAGTCCAAAGACGGAGGTCTTGATTGATATGTGGCACTTAGGGCCGGAGGTTTCCAGTTCAAAGCTTACACTTTCATTACTTGAGGTGATTGAAAGTATACGCACGAACGATCTCAGATCTCAGTCGGGGTATTTCATGTGTTGCCGGACCCCCAACCACGAAAGGAAGGACAAAGAGCAGCTTGAGAAAGCCTTAAAAGATATACCTTGTGGTGGGGTGGTGGCCGCCGAAACTTATGCTGCGACCTTATACGCCATGAAGCAGAAGCTGGACGAAGATGGTGTGGAGAAGTTCGTCGTCCTGTTGTCCTGGGAGAGAAAATCCTTGGTGAGAAAGTACATGGAGCAGCTCTTCACCAGACTCTACCGGTATGAGTTGATAGAGCTGCCCATGAGCTCCAAAGAAAAGCGCTTGAAGAAATCCTGGGAGTCAAGGAGCAAAGCAGGGCCTCACGTAGATCCCGAGGTGGAAAGGATCCAGAAAGAAATAAGCCAATTTTTGGAAAGTCTTCCCAGCCTGAAAGGAGACCTCACAATCCTCAAATCTTCATTAATCCCAGGTAACATGGGAAATATTCATTCATTCTTTCATTTTGTATCCTACCTTTACTGTGTTATCCTGAAAATAAGACCCTGTCTTATATATATATTTTGCCACCAAAAAAAAGACACCAGGTCTTATTTTCGGGGGATGTCATTGATTAACTTCTAGCCCTGCAGGCCATTGTACAAAGAGTAGTTTTGGCTAGTCTAAAGAAAAGAAGAATTATGGGTAACATGATAGCAGTCTTCCAATATTTGAGGGGCTGGCACAAAGAAGAGGGGGTCAAGTTATTCTCCAAAGCACCAGAAGGCAAGACAGAAGGCATCCAGGGTTAGAAACTAATCAAAGAGAGAAGCAACCGTGGAACTAAGGAGAAACTTCCTAACAGTGAGGACAATTAACCAGTGGAAGAGCTTGCCTACAGAAGTTGTAGGTGCTCCATCACTGGATGTTTTTAAGAAGAGACTGGACAGCCATTTGACCGAGATGGTATAGAATCTGCTGCTTGAGCAAAGGGTTGAACTAGAGAACCTCTTAAGGTCCCTTCCAACTCTATTCTAAAAAAAAGAACAGCGCTAGAGGTTCAGGCTTCTTGAGAACCTGCTCAACAATCAACTCAGCAGAACTGGGAAGTGATTATTGCAATGAGGGCAATGTGTTTCCCTGAAAATAAGACCCTGTCTTATATATATATTTTGCCACCCAAAAAGGGCACCAGGTCTTATTTTCGGGAGATGCCATCCACTGACTAACCTCACTTGCATGTGTCACCCCCAGCCTCCTTTTTGCTGTCAGAGGCCTTCAGGAACTTCTCCTTCTGTGGCCAGCAAGGCTTTCCTGAAGGCCCCTGCAGAGGATAATAGAGCTCTGGATCGATCCTGAGCTTTGTTATCTGCTCCCGAGGCCTTCAGAAAAGCCTTGCCAGCCTCGCCGGCTACAGAAGAAATGGGCTGGCAAGGCGGGTGTCAGGAGGTGTGAGGCCTGGCTACAACTGTCCAAAGGGAAGTAGTAGGAGAGCTCCACCACCTTCCATCCCCACCCTAGCTGAATTTTTACCCGTCCACTCTGGAGTGGGTGGGGTCTTAATTAGGGCTTATTTGGGGGGTAGAAACTGGAGCCTGTTTGCTGGAATTTTTAATCAGATTGAGTTCTCTGTAAGGATTTTTTTTTTTTAAAGCATTTTAAAAAGGTAAGAAAACTTATGCTTATGCCCCAGGGATGGGATTCTACCAGTTTGCACATATTCGGTAGAACCGGTTGTTAACATTCTAAGCAGTTTGGAGAACCGGTTGTTAGAAGAAATTACTGGGCTAATCCTGTAAGGAAGGCAGGAAGGAAACATTCTGGTGTTGCTTACAGCAACTGCCTCTCCGTTAACCCTTATTACATTCCTGGCAGGACTAGACTTCCTGTCTCAGGAACTTCTCTGGAGTTTTTTTCCCCTCCTTTGCTGGTACTTTGCTTGTGTGGAGTGAACATTTAAAGTTACAATGGCACTGAAAAAGGTGACTTATGACCATTTTTCACACTTACGACTGTTGCAGCATCCCCACAGTCATGAGAGGCCAGGCAAGGAAAAGCATGCCTCTATGTGAGTGATATTGAGTTGGCCATGCCCAGCCAGTCACATGACCACCAAGCCACACCCACCAACTAAGCCACGCCCATTGAAGCCGGTTGTTAAAAAATTTGAACCCCACCCCGTTATGCCCTGAATATAAACTGCTTTTTTTTTTCCTTTAAAACTTTTCTTTTAGGACATATTTTCCTGCATGGATTCACAACGAGAACTGGGGGCATTTCGTATGCATCAACGTTGAGCTCTTTAAATCTCTTCAGTAGCTCTAAGCGGCGAGACCCCCCAGCTGTGGTGAAGGAAAACCTTCGAAGATTAGCCCACGCTGCGGGGTTTGACCCAGAGATGTATCACAGCATCAAGGTGAGGTCCAGGGAAACCTTCTTAGGTTGATCTGGGGGGGTCGTTGGTGGTCTCCGAGCTAGATAGTTTTCTTGAAGACCTTTTATGACC